TAGGCAGTTTTTTTTCTTATTTTAGAGTGTCTAACTTATTAGCAGTAATTTTTTATTTATCTATAGTTTTATAGATAGTAGTTAGAGCTTTCTTAAAAGTTTTTACACTACTAAATATTTCTTTAGTCTTAGGGTTTAGTGTAGTGCTATTAGCTCTAAAATCTAGCTAATTATCTGCGTGCAGCTATAACTATATTACTAGGGGTCCTTTTAGGTGTAATCCTATCTAGAATATTATTTCTGCATTAGTTTAGAATGCTCCTCTGTTATACTGCATATAGAGGTGGCATCTAGTAAAAAAGAGGCAAAGGTTCTTAAGTAATTCTTTAAAAGGCTTTAAAAAGGCTAATCTTAAAGTCTTCTTAGCTGTAATGCTTGCTTTTTTAGTTAACATATTTTAGATTTTTGCTAATTCTACCTACAATGCGTGTATCTAGCTTGCTGCATTTATAGCTGTTTAAAAGTTTATTTGTAAGAGTTAATTATTAAACTAAATTACTTTTTAATGTAAATTTCTAACCTTTTTATAAAAACTAACGAGTTTACTAATTTTATTACTAATCTATTAAAGTTCTTTAATGTTATCCTAGATAGTATTAATCTGTTCTGCTAGAACACCTTTACTAACTGTTAGAACTCCTGTTAATCCTAATAAGGCTACATAGGCTATGTTAGAATTAAAGTTATGTTAAAAAGTTATACTTTTTAAAGGGTGTAGTGTTTAATGTTATAATTCTTGCTTAGTAAAGCACTTAGGCTAAGGTTGTTTCTAGGAGTAGAATAGAGCAAAGGGGCTAACAGCAGGGTGTACAGTCCTACGTAGGGCTAATAGGCTGATGGAGGGTAGTAGAGTAGCTAGATCATAGTTTGTCCCTAGTTGCAGCAGTATAGTGGCTAGGTTAAACAGTCCTGTTAGATAGAATTAGAGGTATATATGTTGTAAGATATACAGATAGTATTGCAGCCCTTTAGAAAGCTAAATGCTACTTAGTCTATATAAAAGATAAACTAAACTTTAAACACGCCTTCTTAAAGGTTGTTTATAGTTAAACTATATACATGTCTAATAGTGCTAAGAATAAGTTGCCTAAGCTAGGGTAAGCTTGCTGTATAGCAAGCTTGTTTAACTTGCTTAGACTTGTTCTGCTTCCTTAGCGTTCTATCCTACTAGATAACGCATTCTTCTGTAATCCTAGGCAGCTGTGATGCTTCTGTGTCCTCCAATTGGTCTATAAGCGAAGCCTGTCCCGACCTAGCTAGATTGTGGAGCACATCAGGTGGAGTTACGTCGGTCCAACCGTAGACCGTAACATCTAGTCTAGTGCTATAGTAAAGGCAGTGTAGCATTTCACACTCTGTTGCTGTTTCTTCTAAGGTGTTATTACCTATACTGTTTTCTCTTATTAATTATAGCTACTATCCTGCTTAATGCTTTATAGGCTAGTGCTGCACACAATATTAATTAGTGCATAAGTACTATTTAGTTAGGCATTTTTTAGGTTTATATAGACTAGCACTAGCTATACTTAGGTCTATCTAGGGTACTCTTTTATTCTAATAATTTGTAAAGGGTTTGCCTTATATTAACATTTAAATTTCTTATATTATTTACTTTTATAAGAAATGTGTTGCGTTTGCTAAAAGGTCAACCTCCTAGCTAGCACAGCAGAAGGATATATATAGACGGATAGCTGTACGCGACAGAATGTAATACTAATTAACTTATTATGTTTTAAGTTTTTTCCTAGTTATTATAAGTGCTAGAGGTGGCGTCCCTAATCTTTTATAGTAGAGTTGTAGGGTGTAAAGCAACATGCTTTACTATTCTAGGCCTTTTTTATTGCTAAGAATCTTCTTAAAAAACTTCTATTTCTTAGTTTTATTTAAGATGCTGTAGTGTACTTAAGTAATACTTAAAATAACTTTATATGTGTTTATGTTATTATTAACATGTACTTTATAGTACTCTTTTTTATAATAGTTATAGTTATAGGTTTCTCTGCATTTCTAACATTTACTATAGTAAAATTAGTAGGCAAGCTTTTCTATAAGCAGCCTATTATTAGTTGTTCTAAGGGGAATCTGTTTTCTCTTTGTTTTACATTCTTAATGTAGTTTACTTCTCATGTTAAGTTATGCTATTCTTTAAGAACAGCAGCTTGTTTAATTGCTTAGAGAACCTTATAGTTATCCTATACTTCTACCTTCTAGTAATTTCTAGAATAGTTTAGTAGTTTATAATTAGCTCTAGATTTTTAGTAGAGTTATTTGTTAAGTCTGTTATAAATTTCTTTTAACATTAGCTTTTATTTAGCATGTATAACCTTTATAGCTAGTCTTTTATCTTTATTCTCTAAGTTTCTAGAGTTTAGACATTTTTAATAAAAGTAGCCTACTTTTCTATAGTTTAGATAAGCTTTTTCTTTAAGCTATTTCTTCTATTCCTTGCTTAGAGGTAGTCTGTTACTTTTAGAAGAACTCTTGCTTTTTTTTAGAGGTACTATATATGTTTTATATAAGTAAAGTCTCTTAGCTTTTTATTATATTAAAGGGCCTTTTTCTTTTTTAGTGTCTACTTAGACTTCTATGTTGTTATGCCTATTTTCTTTTCTCTCTAACATTCTACATGTCTTTTGTTATAGGTTATTACTTAGTTAATAAATTTCTCTAGAGTCTTTAGCTTTTTATTATGCATAAACTTATCTTTAACTATGTTGTTTAGCCTATTATAAACATTCTACTTATAGCTTTTTAGTCTATCTATTTATAGATAGCTAGTTGCTTGCAGAAGTAAGCTGCATAGTGTTAAACTATTTCTTTTCTTATTATAAAGCGTTTATATTATTAAACTACTGTTTTTTCTTAATTTACTAATTTATAAATAGTAGTTAAGGCTTTTTTAAAAGAGTTAAGGCTGCTAAAGATTTCTTTTATTTTTAAAAAAAAGTTTTTTTATTAGTTTTAAAATCTATCTAGCTGTCTATGTAAGGTTAAAACTAGATAGCTAGAAAGCCTTTTAGTTAAAGTTCTATTTAAGAGATTATTTTCTTATAAGTTTAAAAAGCACCCTTATTAGTATATACTATATATAAAGGTAGTATTATGTAAAGAACAGCTTAAGGTTCTTTACACTTTTAGTAAAGGGTTTAGAAGAGGCAAGTCTTAACATCTTTTTAAAGTCTACGCTTAGCTTTTTTTAAGCTGTGTTTTTTAGATTTAATACTTTAAGTTAGAGGTTTTAAATTCTAGTGTTTACTGTTATTAGTTAGTTGTTTACTAATTAGGCTAATAGCTACTTTAATTCTGTTATTTTATTTCTTATTAGCAGAGCTTGCTCTGCTTATTATATTTAGGTTTGCAGAACAAAAAGTTGAGCAGAATCTCCTCTTTTAGACGGGCTAGTTAGTTAGAATTTCTTCAGATAAACCCTGGTAACACTGTTTCTCTGTCACCTCATGTGTTTCTTATATTCTTTTTTAAAAAAAATGTATACCTAATGTAAGTGCACCTTTACGCTAATTTGCATGCAGTTTGCTCTAGCATGCGTTGTGTAAAACATGTTTAAATTATAGTTAGTTGCGTCTGTTCCACCTCTCCAGCCACATTGGTGTGTCGGGGATTGGCATCAGCCACATTGGTGTGTCAAGGTTTAGCATTAGCCACATTAGTGTGTCAGGGATTGGCATTAGCTGCATTAGTGTGTTGAGGATTAGCAGTTGCTTACACACCTAAGTTGCTTACTTTTGCTAAGAGCACACTACAACAAACTTTACTATAGCCTATAACAACCCACTCTAGCACTATAGAGTACAGTACAGCCTAGAATATTATTTAGATACTACTTCTACTTCTTGCTTACACGTTTGCGTGTTATGCCTAGTCTAATTGCACTATTTGCAGCGCCTTTAGGATTGCTTATCTACTTTAGCTTACACCTGCTTCTTTGCCTTTTTCTTATTACTGCGCGCCTTAAACTTATTTTAAGCTGTTAAGCGCAGGCTTTTTTAAATGTAGCTGCCTTATTAGCTGCTTTAAGCTTAGTAATTTCCTATTATGCTAACACTAGCTTATGTACAATTATTGCTGCCCTTTATAAGGCTTTTTTTCTAAAGGCATTACCCCCCTAGAACCCTCTCTATACATAGAGCTACTTATAACACAACTAATATTTACTAGGGATTGTTGCCTGCTGCTGTAATCTACTGTAGTTTGCTGCAATTTGCTATAGTTTGCTGCAATTTACTTTATGCATTTCCTAACACTGCTAGGTAATCTCTTACTAACACCTCTAGGCATTAGCCTATTATATTTAAACAGCAGTTAAAGAAGCTAAACTAGCAGTTGTGCAAGCAAAACAGCTTGTTAAAGTATTACATACACTACATTAATGTTTACAGTGATAGAGAGGCAGAGGCAGAGGCAGAAGCAGCGCTAGAGCTCCCTAGTACTCTAAGAAATTCCTATAGAGGCAACAAACTACACAAGCTGCAGCTCTACAACTAGGGCTTTAATGCTAAAACAATTAAATTAAAGATATTAAGTAGCAGTATTAGGCGTGGCGTGGCGGTATTAGGCGGTGAAAGGAACAGGTGCAACGCTAGAGAACGCAAGGTACAAAGAAGAGGAAGACTATTATAAGAGTAGAAACGTGTTAAAAGCTAGAGCTAGAACATGTTCTCTTAATTACAGCTAATAATTAACTAATTTCTAGATAACTAATCTTAAATTTATATAAACCTTTAGTTTTTAAAAAATAAATTTTACTAACTTAATTAAAGCTAAAAAGTAGCTAGCTATTATTTACTTTTAAGTATTACTTTACTTATAGGCTTACTCTATAATAAGTAATTTAGTTATATATAAGGTTTTTAGCTTCGCGCTTATATACTTTTTTAAAAATGTAAAATAACCTATATTAAATAGCTATAAAAAGTGTAATAAGTAAAAAAGTATATACATAGTTGTCGCAACCGCTGATCAGGGAGCAATGAGGAGCAAGTCTATTGACTATGAGAGGCTCATAGGGAGCCTGCCTATGTAGTGGGAGCTCCGGCGCC